TTGTCTGACGAGCCCAAACGCCCATTGCACCTTAGCGAGCACAGTTCAAGCGTAAACAGTGTTTTCATAGACTGGATATAGACTGTTGCCAATGTGGACCCCTAAATCCCCGGACCAGCTGAGTCCTAGGGTGTCAAAGATAATGGCGATTTATTGCGGCGTGAGCTTTTCTCATTGCCCCTCTGCCCCCCGCTCCAATCGCCCCCTCCCCTCCTCAAACAGATTAAAATTAAGCCGTAAACATGTGAGGATGGAATTAACACATTTAGCGAGCCTCCTCTTCCCACATCCCATTTTCGCTCCGGAGCGCTGATCCCCGCTGCCGAACGCGGGTGCAATTTTAATGACTGTCGCCGTTTTTGAAGTCCACATGAAAAAAGCGTTGGCGCCGTTTGTGGCGGCGCTAGATACGGCGAGGCCACGGCCGGCCGTGATTGGGGGGAACCGCGGCGCCGACTCGGACTCCAGGCTCTTCGATAGGATCGGTGTCATTTTCCTCTCCACGATAAGACGGCGTGCTGACAAGGTCCGATTAGCGCAGAAAAAATCATTATTGCTACGCCTTTCATCCACCAGGGGTTTACTGATAAACAGCTCACCCACGGCTACTTTTTCTGAGAGCTAGACGCTACGCTCAAGCATATATATTTGGAAAATATGGTCTCAAGCTAAATTTTAGTTGCTTTAAATAATGGTTTTCTTTTTAAATAAAGCAGAAAAAACATATTTTTACGTATCTTTGAGCAGAAACGCAAGCTGTGAAATATTTAAGTCCTAGCTCGCTGCTCCATTAATCAAACAATTATCAAATAAGTCCATATTCTTTTTGAAGACAATAAAACATTGCTGATTGTATCTGTCTACAAAAAAGTCATTTATTATGCCATACCTCCAGAGATTCCCCTTTAGCAAACTGTCCTTTTAAATAAAGAAATGAAAAAGACATCCTTGAAATATTCAAGCTACATGTGGAACAGAGAGCATGAACTAGAATAAGAGACTCCACTGTAACTTGCACTAAAACTTAAAAAGAATTACAGTTATGCACAAGAATATACAGATAAGACCAAATAATATCAAAAGTACACCAAGAGAATTTGTTTTTTAAGGTCACACACTGCTATGATGGGAAAATGGCAAACCCATTATAAAATTGGTACATTTGTTATAGGATCTACCTGTGTACTATATCGTACTGTGGAAACAGCGCAGGCTCTAGCCGTGTGCCATAGGCCCATTGTTGTGATTGTGAGTATTTATTTGCTGATAGATTTGAGCGCCCGGTGCCACAGTGCTGTGCCTGTGTGGTGTGAGGGAGTGGGTGGACTCAGAGATGGAGGGGGACAGATAGAAGCTCGGGACAAAAAGGCTCCATGTTACTGGGACACTCCAGCACCCATGGGCTCCCAGCACGCCTCAAACACACTGCTCACTTCAAACGCGCCCTGAAGATTCGCTCTGTTTACAAACACATATTTATTTATTTCAGCATTCAGCCATTTATTTCTCAACGTCCCAGAACCCTTTGCTCTAACATAGCCTCAGTTAACAGCACTACTTAAATCAAATAAATATAAAACTAATTGATGTAGTGAAAATACAATGGCCACATCATCACAGGCCTGAATGACAACTGCAGGGCCCCATACTGAGCCACTACGAGTGGTTTGTTTGGGCTTCAATGGTATCGCATTAAATAAAGAGGGATCATGACATGAGCTAGTGGCACGTCTGATGGACTAGCTCTGCTTATCTCCATCTTAATAAAGTTTGTAGCCCGCGGTGCTCTTGTCTACCTGCATGTGGTGAACTTAGGGCTGGACTCTGGCCCCTGGAGGCTGGCTCTCTGCTTATCTAAACACAACTGAAATCAATCCCTAATGAGCAGAGTTCATTCTCCAGGATTGATTACAGGTCTGTAAACACAAATACTCACACTTAAGTGTTCACATTCACATGCAACAGCAGCACAGTCTAGTCTCTAGGTACATTTACATAATTTATGGAAACTATTATAGGGATGGGCAATACTGATAAAATAAATAACTCAATATCCTAATTTTTAAATAAATCCTGAACACAAATATTCAGACGATATGTTGCAGATAAATCAGAAATGGGCCTGTAAATACTGTGGATAAATACTGTGTGTGAGGTTAGATTAATTGGCTCATTTTGTATCTATATGACTATATAGACATTCAGTTTTTGACCAAAACTCTCCAAAACAAAAACTGCAATATTTTTCATCTCTCACTTCTCACTAGTGGATTTATTTTACTTGAGACAGAATGTAATGTATTGATTCAAAGTTGCATGAATAATATTTGTCCTGTATATTAACCACAACTAAAACTGAGAAACAAAACAACGTACATAAAAAATTGTACGTTTTCAGGGGTCGAGAGAGGCACTAAAATATTTGTGCTCTTTGATTTGGCACGAGTCGCACTCCTCTCTGGCCCATGTAAATGGTCTGACTGTAGTTTCTTTAAATTGCCTAAGTGTGTCCCTCCCTCTTTAAGTGAGCTAGCCTGAGCCTGGCTTGTTGCTGTGCAGGGCTTTTAAGTCCCTGCTCCTCACTAATGAACTTGTATACTTTATTTATGAGACAAACAGAGGCGCAGTGTGCTTCTCCAGGGGTGCATGTGCTAAAGAGCTCAGCGTGTCCTAAGAGTCTCCTCTCCAGCCTCTCAGGGCTCTCAGTGCTTTTGGCAAAGCCTTTGTTTTATGCTAAATACACATGAGACACGGAGAATGGCACAAGAAATGCTCAATCTGATAAAATGCGACTGTGTGAAGATTCCTCTTTGCTCAGAGCTGGGAGCCCCTTTTCTCCCTTTAACGTGACCTAGAAGCATCTGGCGTTTTCTGTTCCTGGTCATTAAGGGAGAGATTGTCACTGGGCAGAACCCAGTCTCAACGCCATTTCTTTGTTCGGGATCTGGCTCTTTGAAAGAAAATGTCTTTTTGTTCTACTTCCTCCATTGGTCAATTACAGTTCTTCAGGGCTACAGTGTCATTTTGGAAAGAGAATGCAACTTTGAATTAGCGCAAAATAACAAACTGTTCCCTGTCAAAAGAAATGAAAAAGTCCAACTTAGAAGTTCTGGAGAGAGAAAAGTATTTATAGTTTGACCAGAGAAAGTGTGATTGGTGAAACAGTTAACGCTCTAATTATCTGTGTTAAACGTCTGTGGATGCAACCTCTGTGTCTCTGCAACATTTTCTATTTTAGTAAAAGTGGTCTCTCATAACTATTATTTTGTTTTCATGAAAATAAAGGGGAAAAATAAAAAGTGTGCCTTTGTTGAGCTCAAGTAAATAACAGAAGATAACCATACAAACAAACTGTATTAAGCAAATCTAAAAGGTTTTCAAACACTAGGTCAAGACCCAAAATTGGTCAAAATTGTAAGAATCTCAAAAAAAACAAAAAACCCCAAAACAAAACTCATTCCTATTTAAAACAGCAAAATACACATAATATTTCCACTAATAATATCAAAACAATGCAAGTGTCACACTAACACTTTTGCCAATTAATAACAAATAATTTAAAGTATGAGTGAGAATAAAAAGAATCCAAATTGTGGAAGTTCTCCAAATTTCAAATAGAAATTTATTAAAAGTACATCTAAAGACAAAAATATGTAATAGAACAAGATAAATTCAAATGAAAAAACAGATGTGTAAATTCCACTAAGAAATTATATTTCTGGTGGCCATTTTCTGCCCCCTCTCGGGTTGTTCCTTGTGCTAGTCCCTGTATAAAAACCACAGACAGCAGTATTTGAGGTTGTGCATCTGAGCGGAGGGCTGGACTGGACAGCGAGCTAAAGACGGGGTCAGGGATTAAACATGATGCCCTGCCAACACGACCCACAGCTGGTGCGGACCCAGCTGAGTGTGTGGCACCGCGGAGCAGATAAACCAGCATTGTTCTGAGCTGAAGCCACCGGCGACAAGAGGTCAAAGGTGACGCAGAGGACTAAGGCTAGAGAAGCTAACAAGCCCGGGAGGTGATATTATAAGCCATAGCCCACTTCTGTTCTCGTCAGAAAAACACAGAAAGATGGTTAAAAATCTAGGGCTGTCGCAGAACCTCAACACATCTACGAATCAACATTTTTAAGCAGAGAATGCAGATTGTATTTATGAATTTGCGAGTCACAGGGAGGAAACATCAAAAGCCTGTGGTCCGCATGCGAACCTTCCTTGACTTGAATTATTAAATCGGTTGATGTCGCATGTGCCAGCCACCCGGCGATTATAGTGTAAATTGACTAACTTTTTCAAAACTACAGCGGAAGCCACAGAAAGACGGTTGATACTTGAAGAATGAGCTTTGATACATCTCTGAGGAATACTCTGCGCCTCAATAATGTGGGGAGTGTCAGGAAGGAAGACAGGAAGCAGAAATATGCTAACTGGTTACATCTATTTAAGATCCCAATGAGCCTTCTCTTTTACTATTTTAAGATAAAAACAACCTTGATGAGGATGAAAAGAAGCTTGTGCATTTTTAGTTTTATTTAGAAAGACTTTTTTTCCCTTCCTCCTGCACGACTGAATTAAGAACTTCTAGAAGAACGCTGACGTTGTTTATTTTCACAGCCCCCCTGTCTGTTTTGGCAAAAAATGCAACTACCCAACACACACACACAGGCGCACACACAAACACACACACATACAGACAAGAGGTGGTACTGATGCAGGATTTTTTTGGGGTAGAAGCGGCACCCGATCTGTCGCCTGTACACCTCTCTCTATCCTACTGGTTTGCCTTTGATGTGCTCCCGAAAATGTCATCAACCGTCAAGGAAAATACTTTTTTTCCCCTCCGACCCTCCCTCCTCACTACACCCCACAAACATATCCACCCACCAACGCATACGAGCGAGACAATTTGCTGTCGCTCACTCATCCTTGCCACTATCTTACAACCAGCCCACCTCGTCTCCCTTCTCCCCCAACTCAATCCCAGCCTAAATACGTACCCGTTTCCACCGCTATCTGGTAGCCGGCCTCCAGTCTCCGCGATGACCTTTCCAGCCGCTCTGTGTTGTCCAACAGATGCGCTCTCTGCAACAAATAGAGAAAGGAGGAAAAAAAAAGAAGCCGTGAAGCCAAAGAAACAAACACAAAATAATTGATTGAGAAGGGACTGGGAGCCATTTCAAAGAGACACATCAACACTGTCACCTAAACAGACAGAGCACATCCACAACATAATACAGCCAGCTTGGCAATAACCTTCATGGATGACAATGTGTTATATGCTGATGGAATATCAAGCGGCAGCATGTTGTGGGACGACAATGGAAAAGGTGCTGTCTCCTCATCTTGGACATAAAACATAAGCCCGCACTTTGAGGTCTGTCGCCGACTTGTTTTGTTTACAACCACCGTTTAGTCACACAAAAAAGTTGAGGATGAAAAGTGGAGCACGTTGAAAAAAAATGTAATTTGGTTTGGTTCAGTCAAAAATACCTGGGTACGTGATGGTGTCCAACTGGCTGCAATGAATTTAACATCAGCAAATGCAGCTAGCTCGCATGAAAAACCGATGGTACGTGACTACAATACGATACATACGAATCTTAAATAATAAGTATTGTTGAAGGACATACACAAACTGTTGCTATGGTTACATAAATAGGAAAATATGGTCGGAAAAGGTACATAAAGTAAAAAGTAATCAAACAGAACTGCCTTTATATTAAGTTATGCAAGACCTATTGTGACCTGTAATCAAGGTTAAATACACCACTTTAAATTGAGAGGGGCAAACAAATAATAAAATGAAGAGTGAATGTTTACTATTTTGAGACCTAAACACTGAAAACAGCACAAATTATTACTATGGTGAGTTAAATAAGAAAATAAGGTTGAAAAAGGGTAAATAAAAAAACAGAACTGCCTTTATATTTAGTTATGAAAGACCTATTGTGACATGTAATTAAGGTTAAACATACTACTTCAAATTGAGAGGGTCAAGAGAATAATAAAATTAAGAGTGAACGTTTACTGTTTTGAGACATAAACATTGAAAAGGTCAAAGGACATATATAAGATAAGATACCTGAAATAAAAAGATGGATAATACTGTTTTTAATTTGGTACTATACAGAGATTTGTCCACAGTGAACAGAAAGAGTTCTTGTAGACTGAGCAGAGAATCGGCCATAATATTTCTATTGTATGTGTACTTGATCCGCATCAGTGGACCAAACAGTGATCCATGATGTATGAGTACTGCAATCCCTATTGTATCTCTCAGCTATCAACAATTGACAAGGCTGCCCTGTGAAAGCCCACAATCCAGACAGCATATCAAGAAAAAGATGTGTTTCATTAATTATTAAAAAAGCAATTTGATCATTTTTTCAAAGTAGATGTTTGTGACTATCAAGGTGTAAAGGCAGGCTTTAATATCAGGTGTACTAACTTCAACAGTGAGTGGTTCCTATGATACCTGAAAAGCAGAGGTTTCTCTCATGCTTAACTATTCATGGTGGACATCTGAGGTGCGAGAAGGTCTGATGTGTTGACTGATGGCCTTGACTTTCACCTTGGGGCTCTCAAACATCATAAATTATGGTTTGTTTTGTGTTGTTCAAGAGCTGCGTTCCCCTGCTTGTGATTTAATGAGAATTTTCAGTTTGTTTTTATTTATTTGATTCACTATTTAATAAGATTTGATCCACAGGTACTCAACTGGACTGCTTGTGAGGTGATTTGATCAAAGGTCATTGTATTGAGACAGAACCATCATTACTCTAAATTAGAAAAATAATAAGCTCTTCTTGCACTTTTGAAAACATGCGCACGTACAGCACAGGCTTTTTTGTCAAATCTGATTAAATTATGTAGTAAGATTTGTCTTGCCCCAGAACAGATATACTGTGAAAGTTTTTAAGCTCAAAGTGAGACCAATGTGTGTGTGCTGTCTGCATCCAATTTTTGTCATCCGCGAACCCGTAAGTCACACTGATGATCTTTTAGGTACAGAAGCACCCATCCAGTTTTCTTGGTTCCGATACTGCCCGATACTAATGCAGAGACTGAAAATAGCATTTATTTCCTTTAAACAAAAATAAAATAAGACAAAATTGATCCAAATGTGTCATATAACTGTTATTTATCTCTGAAGTGACAGAGTAGCTTTGTATGAATAAAAAGTTTTTACTTTGTTGGACTTTCAAGGCCAAATATGACCAGTAAATAGTGTTATTACATGAATTCATAAGTCCAAACCAGCACTGATATCTGATACCAGTATCGGATATCTGCAACTCTACTTTTAGCCTGTTAGTTGCTAGTTCAAGGCCTTTAAGATTCAGTAGAGCCTACAAAAATTGTCAGAAAGCCTGTATTAAGGAATTCAGTATATTTTTAATTACATTCATTATCAACTTATCTCCTCAAAATGTATTGTTGAATCCACCAAATAAAAAGGTTAAAGAAATCAGTTGTTTAGGGCATTTACAGTGAGTTTCTAACCCTAACAGAGTCCATATAACCCCTGTCCACTGCTGCGATGAAGTTCATCCAAACTGCCAAACATCTGATCAAAACGACGTGCCTTCAAAGGAAGCTTTGTAAACAGAGCAGACATGAATGACGGTGATGTTTACTTGAATGCTGTTGGTTTTGATGGCCTTTCTAATATTAAGTAGCTGGTCTGATGTAACACGGAGTTGACGTTCAAAAACAACCCCATGAATGACAGCCTACCTCTTTGACACCAGTTTAGACTCATCGTGTGAACGAAAAGGGACAGGGGGAAAAAGATTTGGTTAGGCTGTCAAAATACGCACCAGCTAATCACTCTAAGGGAATGAAAGCATGGTGGGGAGAATAAGAAAAAGTCAATGACACACTTCTCAAAGTTTGACAATGAGAGGGATGGGAAAAGAGCGGGGTGGATACGCTGCCTCTGAACTCTTTTCTTGGCGCTGCGTCTTGTCTGCGCCCGCTGACACATGTCATTTAAAATTGCAGAGATACTTTTTAATAGTTAAAGGGAGGGCAGGGGGAGGATGGAGGGAGAGGGGAGAGCGTGGGGACAGATGGCTAGTGAAACAGGGCTGTGGTAGAGGGAGAGAGATAAGGAGGTGGTGAGCAGAGCAAAGTGCAAAGACCTGCTGGTGCTTTGGTGTACACGAAGGTTTGGCCAAATAGCAGAAATGGAAGCACAGGACAGCAAATTTGTTCGTTATAAGGCAATATTGATGTTGTGGATGTTTTGTCCACTGGGATTATGATCCAATCAAAACACCCAAAAATATGTGCAGCAAAGGCTAATCCAACAGGTATATATTTCTGGCCAAGATCCCTGATCAAGAATTGGAGATGAGTCCCCAGGCGCTGCACTGCGGTTGTCCACTGCTCCTGACAGGTTGCCCAGGGGCACTGGTTGAAGGAAGGCTCAAATGCTAAACTTACCTACAGGGACAATATAGCGTGCAAATACAAGAAACACCTCATTAACAGCATCCATAATAATCTATAATATTTAAAAGTTCTTTTTGTTGTAACCTGGTTTATTTAGTTTTTTGGTGAAAGAAGAGCATGGTCACCAGGACAAAGACACAAAGCGTTAGAAGGGTCTTTAGTGAGAGTTGTTGGTGTCTTGAAGAAAATGGCTGCTCTGTAATGAGGCCCCACAGAGGAGCAGAGATGGAGGGGACATATTGACATGCGGCGCTTTCTCTAACGCACCTGGACCATGGCAGCAGTCCCTGTGTGGCTGGGAGCACGAAGCAGCCGGGGATACTGACAGAGTACATACTCCCTGGCTTCTTCAAAGAACTCCAGTGATTAGTATGTTATCATTACCATTCGAAACGTGATTTTCCTATTCCCTCTCGGCAAAGGTGACACATCTCGGGGAGACGGCCGGCAGACTCGCTCGCGATGGAAAACCACTTCAAACACTTTCTGCTCCTGAATTCTTCTTTCTCTCGCACTGTCTTCTTTGGGGCTAAGGGGGAGGGAGGGAGGCTGCGGGTGGCTTTGTGAGGTGGGGCTGGGGGGTAGTGGCGAGGTGTGTACAATCATTAGAATAATGCGTCTTCAGTTTGACAATGACAAAAGCAGCAGCACCAGGTGAAGGTTCAGCCTATAAGAACGCAGTAATGGCTCAAAGATGGCCCTGATAATGAAACTGTGCTGCCATCATGCATCAAAAATAATGAAAAGAAACACATATATTCCATCTAAACATCCTGGTGTAGAGGTAGTCATATCCAATGTGCAGATTTCTACAGACTTCATCTACAGGAGAGCCAAACAAACCCCATGTGATCCACCATGGGACTGAATCTTTGTCAGCAGTTTTCAGGCAAATATCAAGTGTGTACCGGCTCCCACTGTGACTCTCAACAGCACATCAAGGCTTGACCTGAGTAGGTTTGCTCTCCCCATTGTCACAACCTTAAGAGAAACTGAACTGCAGCCTGTTTAAGCACAGGCTTGCACTTAAAAGAGCAGGTGGGAGGATGAGAATATCGTCAAAATCATATATAATTGTCACTAGGCACCTTCTAGAAAAACATTTAGCATGGTGTATGTTAAATAGTGAGCGGCGGAGTGCACTGGAGCAGCCACCAGCACTTCTGCCGATGCACGTCTTACCTTTTCATCTGACACCTACATTTTGAACAAAGCTCTTCTTAAGGAACAGGAAAATGCTGTTTTTTTGTTGTGCTTTTTTGCGTCAAGAAACAGTCGTCAGTTGTAAGTTATTAACAGGGAGCCCCAGAACAATGCAGCTGTAGCTCAAAAGAAATCTCTCCCCTCTTACTGCTCTTCTCGCTCCTGCCTTTTTTCAATATCAAACACGAGCGGTTACTATCACCATTTTCCAAAGTTCAGATGATTTCCTTATTATTTCAATAAGGGTGGGGGAGAGTCAAAGTGAATAATGATGACAGCTCTGATTCCAACTGACTGTGTGATCTTCTGTGCCGTTTGTTTGGGACTTGTAAGACGAGGAATTACAAGTGTCAAACAGCTGTGAATATGGGTGCTAAATATTTAAACATGTTTTGCAGAGGAAGAAAAAGAAGTATAGTTTT